AATTAATGGTAAAAAGAAAATTATGGTATGTGAGTTATAATATTTGACTACGGCAAAAAATTATTTTCATAAATATAACTTATTTGTTTACATATTATTTTAACTTTTACAAGACTTTTGTTAATGCAATCCAAATTCTTTTATTGAATGTCTTTGGTAAAAAAAAAATTAACTTTTATATTTTTGTATTACTTTTATAGTATTTTTAATCTTGCTATCAGTTTGCCCTTGTGTAAGGGAAATCCTGCAAGTCTTGGTGACAGATTACTATTCCTTAAAGAGGCACAAATTGCATTCCTGGGTGTTTGCTTAGGAATGCAAACAGCACCTTTTAATCGTCTGCTTTAAAAAAGAGAAAATTAAGCAAATTGAATGGTGTAAGCTCACTTCTCTAACACAAAAGGCAGAGATGTATATGATACACAGTATACCTTTTTTAAAAATGCTATGGTTTCCTTTGAGTCTCATACAAATAAACAATCCTTCTTCAGAGGAAGGAAATATTGGCTTGCGTGAGATTTATTCACAAGCAATCCCTAGCCCTCTGAGATAGAGAGGTTACTTACCAGTAACTCTGGTTCAAGTGGCCCTCTGTGAATTCACACCAATGGCGCAGAGGCCTCGGATATCTGGAGCTAACAAGATCGCTAGAACCGCCCCTCCGACCCCACGTGGTCCACCCATCCTAGCGGTTACCTTAGTTCCCCAATGCTGCTGCAGCTCAAAAGGAGAGACAGACGTCAGACAGAGAGGAGGACGGGCGGGAAGTGTGAATTCACAGAAGACCACTCAACGAACCAGAGATAAAGGTAAGTAACTTCTCTTTCTTCTTCATGGTCTCTGTGAATGCACACTAATGGATGAATGACAAGCTTACCTTCCATAGGTGGAGGGACGTCACGGCAACACAGAAGATAGGACAGCCTGACCGAATCTGGCATCCAGCTTGGCCCGGATATCCAACTGGTGGTGAGATGCTAAGGTAGAGGGTGTGGACCATGTCGCAGCCTTGCACACATCTTGAAGAGAAACCCCACGGAGAAAGGCAGTTGAAGTGGCCACCGCCCTGGTAGAGTGGGTCTTGACAGATGGAGGAAACGGTTTCTTGGCAAGTTCATAAGCCAACCATATAGTCTGTACCAGCCATCTGGAGATGGTTTGTGAAGAAACATGACCCCAGTGAGGTACATGGGGAGATGTAAACAGGTGGTTAGATTTCCTAAATGGTGCAGTCCTTTTAACATAGAACGATAGTTTCTCCAGTAAATGGAGAAACTTCTCAGCGCCATTGAGGGTTTAGGGAAGAAGGTTGGGAGTTCAATAGGTTGACTGATGTGGAACTCAGAAGAGAGTTTGGGAAGAAAGGATACATCAGGATATAAAGTCACTTTGTCAGTGTGAAACTGTAGACAGGGAGAATCTACTCGGAGTGCTGCCAGTTCAGATGCACGTCTGGCAGAGGTGATGGCAACCAGAAACAAAACCTTATAAGATAGGAGACATTCAGATGTCATAGCCAAGGGTTCAAAGAGTGGTAGAGACAAACGATTCAGTACTGTATGAAGGGACCACTGAGGTGTAGGTGTTGTCTGGGGAGGAGCCAGGTGAACAATGCCCTTGAGAAAGCGTTTCACTTTAGGGTGGCGAAACAGTAAAGCTGCATCAGAGTCCTGAGGTTGGTGAGCGATGATGGCTGACAGGTACACCTTTAAGGTGGACAAGGATAAGTGATTATCATAAATGTACGAAAGGAAAACCAGAACAGCGTTCATAGACGTTGGAATAGATTGTGGGTGCCTGTAAATTTCTGAAACGATATCCATTTTCGAGCATATAAGGACTTAGTAGACGGTTTCCAGGAATGAGACAGGATAGTCTCTATTGGGGTAATACCCTCCAGGCGGTTAGGTATAGGAAGGTCAGATCTGGGAGGTAAGTTCTCCCGTCGTGCATCATGAGAAGATGCGGGATTTGAGGTAGTCTCACAATATCCAACGCCATGTTCCTGATCATTGTGAACCATGGCTGCCTCGGCCAGTAGGGAGCTATGACAATGGCATCCACATTGTCTTGTCTGAGTATCACGATGACACAAAGTGGAATTGGTGGAAACATGTACAGCAGACCTGAGTTCCATGGGACCATGAGGGCATCTCCCAGTGATCCCGGTCCCTTGCCTGCCCTTGACCAGTAAGCACTGCATTTGGTGTTGTGTCTTGCAGAAAAAGCATCCACTTGAGGGGTCCCCCATCTGTCGCATATTTGGAGGAAGATTTCCTGGTCCCGGGAACACTCGTGGATCTGACTGGTAGTCCGACTGAGGCTGTCTGCCCAGGCATTGTCCCTGGTCGATATGTGGACTGCTGAAGGGAATATGTGGTGTTGAAGGCACCACTCCCAAAACTGTACTGTCAAGTATAAGAGAGAGAGTGTAATGCAACACAGTTGTGTTGTCAGTCGTGACTTGAACTGCGTTGCCTGCAAGGATGGGGAGAAAGGCTCGAAAGGCTTTGAAAATTGCAAGTTCCAGGTTGTTGATATGTAGCAAGGCTTCTCGTGGGGACCAGGACGCATTGTATTGGTAAGTGGTTTTTCCCAGGGAGAAACACAGAAACGTGCGGTGGTCCGGCCTTACGGAAATATGAAAATAGGTGTTGTTTAAGTCTATTAAAGCAAACCAGTCTCCTTTCTGAACAAGGGGAATAACCTGTTCCAGGGTAACCATACGGAAATGATGGTAGGCAACAAAGTGGTTGAAATCCCGGAGGTCTAATATTGGGTGAAAGGAATTGTCCTTTTTTTGGAACCAAAAAGTACCCGGAGAGGAAACCAGTGTCATTTGGATCGATGTGGATGGAAGAGATGGCTGATTTTTTAAGATGACGGATTTCTCTTTGCAAGGTAAGAGAGGGGTGTGTGTAGATGATTCTGGGTGGAGTTTCTATAAATTCTATTGTGTAGCCATTTGCATTAATAGAAAGGACCCAAGAGTCTGTTGTAACCCGGGCCCAGGTTTTTATGAAGGGAGCAAGACGAGTATGAGGAGAAACAGAGTGGATGGATAGGAGGGAGACCATGGCGTCAAAGGCTCTGCTTGGATTTTTTGTCTGTTTTCTTGTAGGTTTGGCAGGATCGTTGACATTTTGTCAGAACTGGTATGAGTAAGTTTGCTGAGGTAAGAGCTTTGGTTGAGTAGGATCTGTAAGGTTGGTATGGCTGGTAAGAATATTGGTGCCTCAAATTGTAACATTGGGCTTGTAGTACTGCTGTGAATTATATGCTCTTGCCGGATTCTTCATTTTGTGTGGAGTGTCCAGTTGATCATCCATTTTGGGATCAAAGAGACCAGAACCATCAAAAGGCAAGTCCTCTATCTTTTGTTTACAGTCATCTGTGATGTTAGCTGAGCGAAGTCACACATGTCTCCTGATTGCCACACCTGTCATTAGATGTTTAGTTGCAGATTCTATGTGTCTGGCTGTCACCCGTTCTTTTTTCGCCAGGGCCATAGCTTCTTGATGTATAGATATAGCCTGTGTCCTAGAGTCTGAAGGGACTAGTTGTAGGAAAGGGCGGGCCTTGGACCACAAATGCTTTTGGTATGCGCTCATGGCTGCCATATACAGTAGTTGGCGGTTCTTAGAGTAAATGAGGTAAGCGAATACACTCGGCATCCGAGTATGTCCAGTTTGCGCCCCTCTTTATTGGTAAGATTGACTGTCACATCCACCACAATAGAATTGGGAGGGGGATGTTTAGCCAGGAAATAAACATCTGTTCCATGTATCTTGTATAAATTTTCTACCCTCCTGGACATTTGGGTGATTGAGAAAGGCTTGTCCCAAGACTCCTTCATGACTCGAAACAGAGATGGAATGAAGGACAGACGAAAAGGTGAGGACTCTTGGTCAATGTTCTCATAAACCTTATCAGTCTCACGCTGAGGAGACTGTTTTGCTGTTAAATCTAAAGCCTTGGCAATGCATTGGATCATGGTAGAATAGGTTGAAAAGTCAGCAGGAGACGGAGGATTGCCATAATCAATCTCAGAATCTGGGGTATTTGTGTTAGGAGCCGGTTCTAATGGTGCTAAGGACGGAGAGGAATGAATCTGCATCGGGGTCTTCAGACCAGGGTACCAGGTCGTCCTCTAGGTTTTCCTCAGTCAGAGGGATGAGAGGAGAGGGCTGGCACGCTGGAGACAATGGCTTGGGATTTTTGGATTTAGATTATTTTGCCTTTGGTTTAGAAAGTGCAGTCCCATGGGTGCTCTATTTTCTCTTTGACACCTTAGGTCTTGGAGACTGTGAGGGCATCGGGAGAGGGGAGACCGTAGAGCGCTGAGTGGACACTGTAGTGTACATAGTGGGAGGTCTAAGAGACTTCTCCCAGAGAGCAGCTCTAAGTTTAAATTCTCTGAGTTTAAGTGCCTGTCTGGTGAAGTTTTTGCAGTGATTGCAAGTTTCAGGACGATGAGATTCCCCTAAACATATCAGGCAAAGTCTGTGTTCATCCAAAGTGGGGATCTTCTTATCACAGGAGGGGCAAGTTTTAAATGAGACTTTAGGGGCCATAAAAGGTGGGAAACGGGGAAAAGGGGGGCGTGGATGGTTTCTAATTAAACTGAACAATCTAGAGGGTTTTTTTAACAAGGAGAAAGGGGAAGAACCAGCGATCGACAATCCGTTTCGTTGTTTTCCACAGTGAAAAGAAGAGAGCTCCTTTGAAAGAGACCGTGCAGCAGTGGAGAGAAAAGGAACTAAGGTAACTGCTAGAACGGGCGGACCACGTGGGGTCGGCGGGGCGGTCCTAGCAATCTTGTTAGCTCCAGATATCTGTGGCCTCTGCGCATGCACAGACTTAACCCATTAGTGTGCATTCAAGAGGCCACGAAGAACTTGCAGTTACTCAGTAATTGGAAGGCAGCTCAGTTACATCAGCACTGTGACATTTTAAGATGTCAACATGAAAAGTGGCAACAATTCCAGTTAAATCTTTAATCAATTGTTGGTGCAATCTTTTATTCGTAACTCACACATAACCAGTATTTTGACATTGTTGACATTAATGTTAATACATCTTTTCTTGTTCAGGACAGAATAAGAAACAAAGTGAGTTTGGGATAGCTACAATACTGAACCATGTTAACTACACGACAGGTATCAAGACAGTCTGTTTAGAAGCCTTTCCTGTTAATACCAAGGGTAAAGTAGTTTGACATGGGTTATCTGAGAACAAGCATGAGGCCTGAATACTAATATGTGATGGTACCTGGAGTCCTTAGTATAGTAATCTTCCTTCAGGTGCTAAGAATTTCAGTTATTTTCTTTTTGACTGAATTATAGTGTAGTTTTTATCTTAAAAGCCGCGACTTAGAAATTTCCTCCTATATGATAAATTTATTTCTGATACTATGTGCTCATGCAAGACTTTCACAAAATGTTTGCATATAATTAGAACTGAAATAGACTCCAGGTGTGATCTAATCCAACCCCTGCTAGTACAGAAAATCCAAAGATAAAGCATCCTTCCCATATAGCCATCTAATTACTGTTTTAAAGCCTTCAGCAAAGGAGAGTCCAGTATATTCTGAGCTGGCAGTTGCATTGCTGAACAGATGATACCATGAGGAAGTTGTCCCTAATGTTTAGTCAAAATCTCCTTTCTTACAATTTGATTCCAATTAAGTTCTCACACTCCAAAGAAAACAAGACTGCACCATCTTTTGCATGGTAGTAATATTAAACATTTGAAGTATATCACCTCTCAATCTTCACAGAGAGAAGCATACAACTTCATACATTCCTCACAGGCTCAGTTTCCATATCTTTCAACATTTGCCCTCCTATTCTGGACATGTTCTGACTTGTCAATACCCTTATGCTCTTGGTGCAGAGAACTGGATAAAGTATTCCAAGTGGAAACTGATAAAAGGATGGTAGAGAAGTACTATTACTTCTCTTAATCTGGACATAATTCTATTAATACACTTATTAATGATCTTTTTCTCAGTCACTGCTCTGTGACTATGAAACATAATTCTAAAAGAACTTTACTAGTATTTTCCTGTTCCATCCCAGAGGGAAAACTGCAAAACCTTTCTGTAGAAAAGTGTCTTCTACTTTAATAACATGATATACAATAGGTATATTACATATTTGTCTGCTTTTAATTCTATGTGATCAAGGGCTGGTGATAACTGAAGAATCCTGCCATCATATATCCCATTCCATGGCATGTAAACATGATCACTTGATGCAGATGACTTAACTGTTTCATTTCTGTCCATTATATTACTTTAAATTTGGACAATCAGATATAAAGCCTTCACATATCAGACCATATAAAGTAGTTCTATACCATCATAATTTAAAGCAAAAGATTAACTGTGAGTAGGATAACAAGATAATGCAGAACAGTAGAAAATGCTTGATTCATTCATGAATCAAAATCTAACCCTTGGTCAGTCTGGTTGCTTGCATTTTAACAACAAGGAAGAAGTGGCGGTTTCTGCTAATTTTAATACTACAAGTTAAGTTGAAGTATCTAAGAGAAAATGACTGCACCTCTTTTTTTGAGCCCTACAGGACCTGAATATGGCACACAGCAGTTACACATTTTTTGTGCAAAGCTATCATATATTAAGACTGACAATGCACCTTACTCTTACCGCAGAAGATTTAAAAAGATTAAATAAATTGAATTTGTTGCACGTAAAGGTCTAAAATTTTCTGAAACAAAGTAAGTGCTAAAGAAATATGTTGTTCTATAGGTTTTTACCAGATGTTGGTACCAATTAACTCACTGGGACTTACTTTGAATAAAAATGCACAGAATTATCCTTTATGCAGTAAGGTAACAATTACATTGTAATTGGTTAACTTTTTCCACTTGCTTAAGAAATATAATAGTTACACTGGCACTGATTTTATCATTTCAAGATGGAAATTAAAAAACACCTGTTGAGCTTAACAAGAAAAACTGGCCATGATATATAGGTTGCTTTTCTTGTGTAGAATACTAAAAACACTTAGAAAAGTCTTACTGCTATCTATTCAAAGTACAGAACATATTAATGTCTACTTCAAAGCATATGATGTTTTCAGTTAAAATTTCTGGGCAATTAAAATAAACTTGATGAATTCAACAAAGATCATATTCAGGCTTATTTTTATTTTTGGTTTACAAACAAAGGCACCCAATATTTCTAGTTTATAAAAAGCTTACGATTTAAAATTTTCTTGCCAGAATGTTCCTATAGAAGAAAACTCCATTGTAAAGTTCTTCCTATGGTCCCAAATTTTAAATTCCGGCACTCCTACTAAGTGATCTTCTGAATGTTCTTCCTTCATTTATGACTGACAGATTCTTAAAACCAATGAGACTTCTTAGACTAACACTCATATATATGGATAGTACAGTATTCAAAATTAAGAAGTCTGAAAAACATACTTGCAACATTATTATGACTAGCAACACTTGCTAGATTTAAGAAAATGCCTTCAGCAGCCAGATCTGTGTGGAACTCTAGAAATTTTTGTGATACAGCATGTTGTTGCACAAGAACATTAGGCAACCATTCATACTGAACTAATATCTTAGGAATCCATTAGTTAATCATCAGATATATTTTGGTATTATGGACAGTAGCAGTGTTTTCTCAGCTGCATTTATTTAAGTGGATAGCAAGTATTTGTTTCATAAAAACAAGGTATAGAGCTAAAAACGACTGCCTAAAATGAAAATCTAAGCTTTTTTGTAATTGTTTCTCTCACCAAGTTCACACACATGTATACGCACACAAACACATATACACACATTCCATGGTAGCTTCTTGGGTTCCAGGCATCTTGTGCAAAATTAAGTCCACAACATGCCAAATGTCAAGTTTCAAGTCAGGGAGCAGCTGTAACAACATATAGTAGGAATATTGCAGTCAAGTGAAAAAAAAAACACAGAACCCACAATTTATTATATTTCTACCAGTGTCACACCAGTCTCACACACTTCTTAATGGTGTGGTCCTTGACCATGTAACATTTTGTATCTCTGGAAAGATTATACACTTTTTTAAAATTACACCATACAGTTAAGCACTTCAGAGAATCATCAACAATGAGGTTCTCTCTCTAAAGTCAAATGCAACCTTGCAGGACAGATTTCCAGAGTTGCAAAAGCAGCTTTGCCTGTGGAACTAGAATGACATATGCCTTGTGTAAAACATTTGTATGATTCATCAAGGATTTGTTCACAATTAACTTAAGCATATTAATTTTTTAAAAGGCGTGGTACAAGTTAGTTGGTTTACTCCTGTGTCAAACAGATGTATGTGGTCAATTCTATATAAAAATTCCACTAATGTTAACACAGAATTTTTTTATAGCTCAGCTTTAAATGGCTATTTTAAAGTATTATGGCCAAAATCTTATTTTGCATGCAAGGCCAATCATACCCCATTTCCCTTTCTCCAGCAGCCTATCCTTCAGACAAACTACCCAGTTCCATTCCTGATGAGGTAATACAAAGGACAGTACACAAAAGAAAAAAAGACTTGCACGACTGCCTTTCCACTCTGCATTTTCCCAGCAGGATTCTGGCCTATTTCTATCAAGCCTATCTTTTAGCAAGGAATTTTGTAAATGCATTTTTCCTGCCAAATCAAACCATGCAGGGAAGCATATTTCGCTTAGTGAAGGTGTAAAATTTCTTAAACAATTTGATGTTCTGAATCTCAGTTTTTAAAGTTCCTGATTTCTTTGCCATTTTTGAAAAATTCTCATTATCTGTAATGGCATATTTCCCTTGCCTGTATCTTTAACGGATCTGACCATTTCTTGATCATACAAGCAGATCCTTTACATCTTCAATTTGGGGGAGTATAAAAAGCATTTGTGAGGAGGGATGAGGGGGGATGTTCAGCTGCGTATTCTGATGCTGCATGGACATACACTGTGGTCAGGCTAATTAGTTCAATTTCCTATGAGCCAATCTGGGTCAGTAGGTGTATTTTCAAGAGTAGATCAAACAAATTATTATTATGGTTAACATCTTTTGGTAATCTTAATTACATCCTTCAAATCACTAAGAAGGAAGTGAGAAAAATATGATAAAGAGAATGAACAACTTACAATAATTTACAAAGACTTATCTCTCATAAGATTAATCAGACAAACTCATCGCAATTTAAAAGGTTCAAATAAATAGATCTACCATCTAAGCCAGTAATTTGTTCACCTTAACTAAATGCGCTTATTTGCAATAAAAATTAAGTTTACTATGTTAAGGCAGATTTTAATTCAATGCATTCCAGAATTGCACAGTTACACTGGTCAGTGGCCTAAAGGGTTTCCTCGTACATAGATAGTGAATCTGTCTGGATATTTAACCTACATATTTGTCTAATGACAAAATGATCCAGTACCAGCCATATAATCTTCACAGAAATACACAATTAAGCATCACATGTACTGTATTTCACAATCCAGATCTAATAGTTTGTGTTTTTACAAAAGACAAGATGAGTAGGTACATTATACGGCTTTGTGCCATTAGACCACCATGTGCATAGATGTCCTAATGCTAGAACTGTCATCTTCAGTATCTCATAGTGCTGGATGCTCTGAAGTAAGAGAGGAACTTGTAACACAGGCTGACAACAAAATACCAGATGTTTCTTGCCATTTGTGACCTTGCAATGAAAATACGCCAGATGAGGATCACAAGCACAGTATTGAAGCCGTAACGTATGTTCCTTAGCCTAGAAAAGAATCAGATGCAAAGAAGGTGAAAAAATGATGTAGCAGATAATAATATAGATAAGAATACAAACCTTTTAAGAAATTTGCTCTGTGTCCTTTTCATCTTGCCACATGGGAAATTTTATAGTACAGTACTGGCCATGAAAGATATAGTTACAAAGTGAGAGGCCTAACAAACCAGCTACGTCTGCATAGTCTGAATTATGCAACAAACAAATACACTGCATGTTCCAATATATTTCCTGATGAACAGGAATTTATGTTCATGTTTGTCACAGAAGTTATTCACCACCCATAGATGTTTTAGTGTAGCTTAACTGCCTGCGTTTGCAATGTTTCCATCATGATTACAGGTAGAGATTTATATCTAATAGGCAAGGAGCTTAATGTTTACTCAAAAAATATGACTTCTTCCATTCTTAGCAAGAAGGCCACAGACTAATAGTTTCTGACACCAACAGAAACAAATGCATTAACAGACTGAGTAACTACCATGCCACTTATCAATACACAGCCGATCCACCATGTTTAAAGAAGTAGAAATGCTCCAAGTGGCTTTCACTACCAACCTTCTGCTGAAATATGGTTTTGGGAAAGCACATCTGATACAGATGCCAGAAAGTGGATGATACTGAGATTAATATTTTAAACTGCTGCAAGCATTTTGAATATTTTCAGAAAGACATTTGCCATCACCTGTCCCTCTGGAGGAATATATGGCTGATAGAGGACTGAGCCTGGAAGATACCTAGCAGGATTAGAATCACAGAATAATTAAGTTGGAAGGGGCCTATAAGATCATCAAGTCCAATTCCTTGCTCAATGAAGGAATCCAAGTCAAAGCAAATCTGGCAGACGGTTGTCCAATTTTCTCTTGAAGGCTTCCAGCATTGGGGCACTCACCACTTTCCAAGGTAATTGGTTCCACTGCTATACTACTTTAACAGTTAAGACGTTTTTCCTGATATTCAGCCTAAATCTGGTTTCCTGTAGCTTGAACTCATTATTACATGCCCTGGACTCTGGGAAGATCAAGAATAAATCCTGCCTCTCCTCTGTACTACATTTCAAGTATTTGAAAAATGCTATCTTATCTCCCCTCAATCTTCTTTTCTCAAGTCTAAACATGCCCAGTTCTTTTAGCCTTTAGTCCCCTGATCATCCTAGTTGCCCTCCTCTGAATTTGCTCCAGTTTCTTGGCATCCTTAAAGTGTACCTTAAGAAGGACACAGTACTTGAGATGAGGCCTAACCAGTGCTGAATAGAGGGGAACTAGTACCTCATGGGATCTGGAGACTACACTTCGGTTAATGCATCCTAAAATAGTATTTGTCTTTTTTGCAGCCACATCACACTCTTGGCTCATTTTTCAGCCTTTGATCTACAACAATTCCAAGATCTTTCTCACTCATAGTATTACTCATCCAAGTATCCCACAACTTGCAACTATTTTCTGGCAATTACTTGTCAATTTATTTCCTAAGAGGAATACTAGTAGGCTCTAGAATGTGCCGTTCCATTGTTGACAGGCAAGAAAAATTCACACTAGTATGCTTTTTTTCACAATGGCCAAGCAAAGTGCATATAAGGTTAGAGAATAAAGATACAAAATATACATACTTGTTCAGGTGTTTCCGAGCTGCAGGAAGTCCTGACATTTCCTCATTTAGTACATATTTTTTAGTGCCCATGCAATAGTTTTCCATGTATTCTGCCCAGTGTAATTGTCGAACATCAAAATTAAATGCCTGCAATTAGTATTAAAATTTTAAAAAGCAACATAGTTTTTAAGTTCAAGAGCACAATAGATGACATTTATTTCTCAGTGACACATAAAAATCATATTCATTGCCACAACTAATCCATAGTACCTAATCTAAATAGCAGTATTAGGAAACCCATTTATTCAAGATAAGGAGAGAGAATGAATCTTAAACCTATCTGCATTAGTTAAACATACTGGAAAACCTACTCCAGACAAAGTTTCTAGAGTTAAGTCAGTTTTGGAAAAAGGAGAATACAGTCAAGGTATTAAAGGTAGGGATGAGCAAGGGAAAGCCTGGGGCCACATGCAGGTCCAAGTCCATTACACTCCTTTACTCGCTGCCGAATGTTTCCTGTCAGCAAACTGAACTAAAATACAATAAAATAAAGCTTTCAGGAGCATTGATTCACCTCCTAGTATTTACATAACAAATACCAGTTGTTTATTGTCCCTCCACCATTTTTGGCAGTCCATCTAGCCTTCAAAGGATCTCAAGGACAGAAAAAGGAGCCTCAGTGGTGCAGTGGTTAAAACGCTGTACTGCAGCTAAAAAAACTGTGCTCACAACCTGGGGTTCAAATCCCAGGTAGCCGGCTCAAGGCTGACTCAGCCTTCCATCCTTCCAAGGTCGGTAAAATGAGTACCCAGCTTGCTGGGGGGGCAATGTGTAGCCTGTATAATTAAATTGTAAACCGCCCGGAGAGTGCTTGTAGCGCTATGGGGCGGTATATAAGTCCAATAAATAAATAAATAAATAAATAAAAAACGAGGCCTTCAACCCTGCAAAGTTGCCCACCACTCCACTAGAGAGTGCATTATCGTACTGCTTTATCTTCTCACTGTTACTTATTTTAAGCCTGCTTTCATTCTATTCCTTTTTTGAAATGTTTTACATATTACTGTTATGCATATAGTATTTAAGCAAAGTAAAACCAACATAAACATTACTTGCCTTTTTGTCTTCAGGGCCCAACTGGTTCATAAGCATATTTACGTTGTCTGTGTTCCAGTCCCAAGAATTACTAGTGAAGTACTCTAATAGCATCATAACCTTGTGAAGACGTGTTATTGTTTTCATCATCCTATAGTCCAGGGAAATATGTTATTCAAGGAGATGACATGCAGAAGCTACACATAAGTAAACTGCCCACACAGAGTACAGTATTTAAATGCAGGACTATGCAATGTGCTTATAATTCAAATGCATTCAAATAGATTCAGTATAACTAGAATATTTCTGCATAACAGTTTCAACATTTTGAAACAAGTCAACAATGGCATGCTTATACTTACTGTAAAGCTAGATTTTACACATAGATTTAGAAGCATTTAGTATGGAGGGAGATGAGGAGCTGAAAAAGGAAGGATAGGAATCAAACTAAGTAGTCTTCACTGCAAGGTGAAAAAGTATATTAAAAAATATATCCATTAGCATTCTGGCTTGACTGAAGCATAACCTCAGTCTCTAAATAAATTATAAGGGTTAGGGACATATGCTCTCTCTTTCTCTCTGTTCTCCCTCCCAAATCCTGGGAAAATCTGAAGACAGTTTCATCAAAGGGCAAATTCCTATGAAATACTATAATCCACACATAATTCACATGGAAGGGACTCATGTGAGGATCATCTGTAGTCTTATGACACAGAAGAAAATTATGAACATGCCTTTCTTAGAAAACCATTTTTTTCCTTTTCCTGGATAATCACTGTTTTTCTCTTTTTCAGATAATCACCTGCTACACTAACACAGTGCACTGCACCAGTTTAAATGCTTACTACTTAAAATATGCAGAAATATTCTATCAGTATTCATTGCTTAGCCAGGGGAACAACAAGTACCTGGGATTAATAAAGTGAATTCCATTATCAGAATCAAGTTGGAAAGCAGCTTTAAAATAATATTACTATGAATGAATTTGAATCCAGCAAAAACATGTAGGAAAAATTACTTCTGCTGTACATCGCCTTATTGCAACAAGTCAATAGCAACTCATTCTATTGGTCCTGGCGGCCTACAGTCCAAATGAAACAACTATTCTACACAACTGTTTCCAACCTGATCCTTATAGAGAAAGACGTGGATTATAAAGAGCAGGGAAAATGAAAAGTATAGTAATGAAGAGAAAAGAAGATCAGCATCAATATGAACCAGTTTGGGGAAAGTTAAGGTTTTCAGTACATAAATCATAGTAACTCCTTTAGAGTAAACAGAATGGGCAAATTCTAAGCTAAATAATTACACTGAAGTTTAAAGAAATAAAGTACAATTGACAGACAGCTATTAAAAAGAAGAGATACATCCTAAATACAAACTAGCCATGAAAAAGATAATACAAAGTAAATGAAACTATACAATTTTTTTTGCTAAAATAGTTTTTGATGCATTTCTTCTAAGTACCTGAACAATATTTGAGCTGCATCAATGGAAAATGTACGTCTCACCCATATTATGAAGAGCTCAGATACAGCTCTTTCTTCCAAACATTCATAAACATAAAATTCAGCAGAACAGAAAATACTGAATATAAACAAGCATTTTTACAATAAGAAGTTAATTGCATTCAAATATAGCTCAGTTTATAAAAAGTGTGCTTAGTAAGGGCTACTTTCTTATTCCTTATGTAAATGAACAATTCTCAGGCAACAGCTGTACATTTTATCTTATCTGACCCTCATTTCAATATGTGCAGTGAAGCAGACAATAGCAATAGGAAGATCTCTATTTTGCCTTCTTTCTTCTCTTCTCACAGTCTGCCTGGAAAGTTCTAGGTGATTTCTAGGGCTGAAAATTACAAAAACCCAACCCCTAATAACACTGATTAGGTCACTGTTAGAGGAAACAGCAATTATTTTACATGGACAAAGACAAACAGGAAAGTGTATTCATTTGCCAATAAGGATGACAAATGTCCCTTTAGGAACTGATGATGTAAGAAGTGAGAGAGGAAAGTGAAATTATCCTTTTCAAGTTTCTCTTCATGCAATCAATTCTCACAACCTCAGCTCCTTATGCTGGCTGGTCCACCTGCTAACCTTTACCATTCTTTTGATCCCAGCAAGCATAGTGGAAGCACCAGGAAACTATGATAAACAGGAAAAAATCTTAATATAACTTCTAGTGTAAGTCTGGTGTTTATTACTACGATTAAAATATGAGTACATATGTCTTTCTAGGCAGGCAGCATCTAAAGTATTCCAGTCCTGGTGCCACTGCTGTGTTTGCTGGAATATTTTTTTTAAAAATGAGACTGGCCAGGAAGATGCAAGAAGTAAAAAAAGATAAGGATTTCTTTCTCCTTAATCACTTTTTACATCGTCAGTTCCTCAAGGGACACAGTTGCTGGGTCATATGTCACCCTTAATAGGAACCAATGCTGCTGGCAAGATAGCCCAGGGAGTCAGATACCCGGCTGTAGAGTCAGAGGCTGGGAGTCTGACTCTGTACTCTGCCTCCCAGGAGAAGAGTCAGTCCATATAGCCCTAGGCAAGCTATGTTGTCCCAGAGCACCCCCAGAAGAAGGGAATAGTAAATCACATCTGAGTATTCTACACCTAGGAAATCTTGGAAAAGGTCACTATAGGTTGGGACGAACTTGACAGCATGTGATTATTATTAAAAACTTATGGTAATAGATTGTAAAAACTGGGAAATGATTTCAGACTGTGTTAAATAATGTTCAAATACTATCAGTTCCTGAGCGTAAATAAAATGTTGTTCAGGGGCACAGAATTAAAGAAACTGAAATTAAAGCAAATTCTTGAACACAAAAGTGGTTCTCCATAGCTTTATATGCAGTATGGCTGGTTTAAGGAACATAAATATTACAAGTCTGATATGAGCAGCCAGGAAGATGGTATAGAGTCATTTAGCTCCATAAAAAAAGAAATTCTAAATACTTCCTTTTCCTTTCAACTGAAGCATGACAGAAATTGCTGAGACTAGAAGCAATATCAGATTCTGCTAAATAAACTAAACCTTAGGAAGATGTATTGATCTGGTTAGAGGAGTTTGCAGTGTCACATGAACAAGTTTCTCAAGTCAAAGACATAGTAAAATTATGATATTATTTTTAAAAAGAGAATTATTGCTTCCTACTCCTTGCCAAATACTATTTTGACTATGAAAGAACATAAGTTGACATTTTTAATGCTCCATTAGATCTTGATGGTGGTGGTGATAATGGTTGTACAAGCGTTCACATCAATTCTGCAAAAGGAAGCTTTAAAATGGCACAATTTTTATAATTTTTAAATAGAAAGAGTAAATTATATTATGTTGATCAGCTAAAATACTTTTTGCCCACTTAAGAAAAAAGCCAAAAGAATTATAAGCCAAATGATGGTGATATATAATGCGTTGTGACTTGCATCATTTATTTATGTTTTTTAAACTGTTATTGTGACTTTTTGTGTTTCTTCCACTCCATCCATTTCAGCTTATAATTTCAATAACAGTGCCAAGAGTAAGATGGTATCAGAGAGCTTAGTCACTGACAGGGGTTGCTGGAGTCATTATGACAAAGTGAACATCATGCAGTCTCTAAGATCTAAGAAACATCTAGCTCTTTTACTGTTATTGTTGATTCTTCTATTAGTAAATCTAAGATAAAAGCTCATGCCATTGATCTACACCGCCAACAAGCTTCCACCATCTTTCCAGCAAAAAATTAGCCCTTTCTTTCTTACCACGGTTTCTGACCTGTCAACCTGAGAACAACATCGTATAACAACGCAGGAAGTATGTGAGCGACTGTAGTCCAATAATGATGTATAAGAGGGTTGGACTGGAGTTTAATATTGGGACGCCTTACTGCTTGTTCTAAAGGATTCCTCTTGAAAATCAAATTTAGGTAACACTCTGTAGGAAAAATAAGGGTCAAAATGTTTTGAGTAGCTCTTGTTCAAATAATGAATCCACAGTTGGTAGTAAATTCAATCAGCCCTAGCCGCGTGGATAGTTTAGCTATTTAATGTAAGATCCATAGTACATCATTTTCAATGTTGCCAGATACAGAAGACTTGAGTTCAGGCATCTCCTGGGACTGAATGGTTCATTCAACCAAAATTACAAGGAAAGAAAAGTTTAGTTAATGTGTTAATTGTGTAAACATGGTTTTCTAAAAAGCCAAAGGGACACAAGACAGAGCTAGTCACCATTACCTTGGACTTCTTCCAGTAATCCTGAGGTAGGTATCATACAGGAATGCTGGGGCCTTATGGCTTACAGCAATCCAGTAGTGATATAAAAGGTGATTGGAGGTTAGATTTACATTGGGCCGTCTGAAGGCCTGTTCGAGAGGATTCCTCTTGAAAGTGGATATTACATGGTATTCTAAGAAAGAAAAGTTGCGTAACAGCTTTGATAATAACCATGTAAATATAACGGACTTCCATGGCAATCACAACATACGGTACAACACTCACTTAATTAAAACATATACTTCCTAAACATTATCCATTAACTAGTAGTATTAAACATTTATTTAGGTGAATAGTTTGTCACTTTATGAAGACTCTCTCTTTGGTCCTACTTTGTACTGGTAAATTTCCCATCCACTGCGGCTTCCCTTTTCTAATTAATTCTTAAAACTGTGAACTCAATTTCAAAAGCTGACATCTACAGTACCATGTGCTACAACCTAATTTAAAATACCTAGTATACTACACTACAAACTTTAATTTACCTTTTAAATTAGTTCAAGTATTGTACCATATTTTCCCCAAAATAAGATAGGGTCTTATATTAATTTTTACTCAAAAAACCACATTTGAGTTTCTTTTCCGGGGGACGTTTTATTTTTTTCATGTAAAACAAACTAAATTTACTCAAATACAGTCATGTCATCTTCTGGTTGCTGCACAATGGTGGAGGGCAGGGTTTCACTTAATTGGGGCTTATTTTGGGGGTAGGGCTTATATTATAAGCATCCTGAAAAATCATACTAGAGCTTATTATCAGATTAGGTCTTATTTTCGGGGAAACAGGGTATGTATTCATGTTAAAAGTAATGATCGTTTTCATTAAAATGCCATTTACATTCCCAGCCTACAGGTGTGGACCAGTAAAGCTCTATTCTCTTAACTTGAATTGGCCAACATAAATTCACCTTTTTCTGCAAAAGAAAATGCTCAAAAACTGACAAGTTATATAATCCACTAAAAAACTCCCATAGAACTCATAGATAAACTGTATGATCTGTATAGACAATGTAATCTTAATGCATTAACTAATACATGTTATATTTACAAAGACTGCGATAAATATTTTGAAAAGATAGGTCAGGCACAGAAGAGGGACAAGCTACAACTGAATTTAATATATAGGGATTTTAAAACCAAACAGACTTGCAATGAAGTATGACAACACTTAGTATATCACATACTCCAAAATGTTGAGATTTTAAAAAAACAAAGCAAAATATTTGTGGGTTTTTCTACAAGTGAGCCCTCCAATTTCAGTAAATCTATTAGCTCATAGGGCTGCCAATCAGATAGGTTTTACACAAAGCTAAGTTTGTATATAATAAATGCAATTATCATGGTTCAGGGAGAAGTAGACTTTTTGGCTAGGAACAAAGAATCAGTTCAAGTTGCTCTTTTTAATTTTATTTTCTTAATTCGTGGAGCAATGCAGGAAGAAAAACATAATTAAACTTTAATAGCCATAGCTTTCTCAATTTTGTGATGCCACTATCTGATATCAACATATATACATTATAGAAGGACCCAGAAATATGTACAGTATATTAAAATATTGTACATAGTGGTGTTGTGTTAGGGGACACAGCAAAAAGATATGTATTAGGTGGAACTGCATGCCAAAATGTGTACATTAGGATAAACACACAAGTTTGCATATGATAGTTTTAACAAATCAATAAATGGGAATAGGGAGGTCTGTCCATCTCTCCTAACACTCTGCCTCCTGCATAGATTCCTGGTCCTATATTTTAGTGTGTTTAAGAATTCTACTGTTTCACTCTAGCTAATAAAAAATAAAAAAATTAAAGATTCATATTGAATTATCACAATGCTCAATTAATAAATTTGCCTTCTTTCACTTTTTGTTCACTAGGCCACCAAGGTGCATTAGTATTTTAAACGTGTGACTATCAAGCTACTCCTCTTCCCTATAATTTAGTCCTATAATGCTGTGAATGGCGAGACTAACATCTATCTACGGAGAGAGCAGATGGGGACATTTATTTGTAATACTGTACTACTTGCATTCAGGATGCAAGGACACAGAGAAGCTCAAAGCAATTACTATTCTATTTCTAAAGGGATTTTAAAAAATGTTTAGATACCTGATACATGAACTTTCTAAAGCTTTACAAAAGAGGTAATTTTAAGAATCATAACAACACTGGAGAGGGGAAAAAACAAGACCTACCAACTTCACCCCAGCGGAAGGGATTCGTGCCACCAGTTGTACAGTTGTATATCATAATATTTCTTGGTCTGGAAAACAAAAAAATGTTGCCCTATCAACTCTTCTCTCAACACAAAAAACAGTTTGCAAGATCAGAAACAAAAGGAATTACACAACAGAAAACTCATCAATTTTAACAGACACAGACAGTAATACAAAGCAGTAGCCAAGCATAAACACCAACTTTAAAGCACCATATTTCAAATGATTTGAGCAGATTAAGAAATTACTCAAATAAGACACAGAATAGAAGTGTCTTTTGTGGGTAAGCCTAATGTCACCCAAGAACTTCCTAGCACTGGACTTTGTTATATGCAGTTTGGACAGTAACACCTGTCTACTCAAAGCACATCCTGGTAATCTCCAAGGTCTTCCAAGAATGAGCCCAAACACAAATGCAACTGAAAAAATGCATCTCTGCTCAAGGCTATTATATCGGTTCCTGAAAGCCAGCAGGAACACATCCATGCAGACTCTAAAGAGGCCTGACGCAAACTTTTATTGTAACAGGCATTTAAACAGGATATTTTCTTCCAGCATATGATATTTTGTCTGCCACATTATTCCCACTGTTTTAGCTATACACACTATTGTCAAGGAACCTGAGTACACTTCTTTACTGCTTTTATCTGAACACTTTCAGCATGTTTTCATTAAATTCAGGAATGCAATCTGGTTGAAAGTCATGTACAACACTCAGCACAAAGACAGGGAGGAATCAACATCAGGTTTTGGCACTCTAGTGATTGTATACTAGTTCTAGGTCACCAGAGGAAAAGGACAACATAACTGTTCAGAAAGCATAATTCCACTCATTACTGATAACCATGATCTGGATTTGCTTCAGCTTTGTATACAGTCTCAATACAGACTCAGGAGACTCACTATTGCTTTTCAATCAAGCAAAGCATGATTAGTATTGCTGGTAACACTTTAAAACTTTCTGTTGATCTCCTCTTCCAACAGCTTTGCAGGAATAATATATATTGGTTTCTGCACTTTCCTGAGCAGGTATGGAAGCACCCTTAAGGACTACTTTTATTTTGATTATTTCTCATCTTACTGGTTCACTTATTTCTCTCATTCAGCTTCTAATTTGGTTGTACAATCCTCTCCTCCACATTCACTGATTTGCTTATCTTCACTGAATTGCCATACAGTATTACTTCACTGCCTACATGATTAAAGTTAAATGGAACCAGTGTGAGTAGAGTATGGCCGCTTTTAGGCTAAGATATCCCTAGGCATCTGGGGTGCTCCATGGGTAGTGGGGAGAAACTCCAGCTGGCCTTTATTGTCATGAAGTTGTGATCAGTATGTGTTGCTTTTAATCTTTCTTATACCCTACCCTGTGTGAAGTATTTCAGAAGACTTTGAAACAATACAATTACAGTGCACATCTACTGTCCATTCTTCTTGAAACCCCTTGGAAGTTGCACACCACAGAGTCTTGTCCTACATTTTAGGTCAGGTAGAGCTGGCCCATGGTTTAAGCACAAGGGAGGATGCCTCCTTCCAAAATGGTAGGAAAGAGCCACTGCCTTACCTGGAACATGAGTTGTCTGTTGGCTAAAAAGAACAGGTTATAATATGGCTGCCTATCCAAGAACATGTGCACAGAAGCTGTGATAATGCAGTCTAGCACAGCAAGATGAAGTTTTAATTTCTTTGTGGCTGTGAGGACAAACAACACTATCACATTTAAAAGCAGAAACCTACAGTGTAATATAATATACACACTGCTTATTTCGTTTAAAAACTGCGTTGTCACCTGTTATACCTATTAACTCCCGAATACCAAGCAGCAGCTATAGTTGTGTTGATGACTACATCTACTGGAATAAGATCTGCCACTGCATTGTTGGAGGCTCGCATTGTTCGAAGAATTCCTTTTCCTGCCTTAAAACAGAAGGCACACAATAAGAAAGTCATTTCAAATCACCTCTGATTTTCACAGAAAACATGTTTATCTGCATATTACTTACAGCAATAAAAAGGCCACTAGGTCCATTAAAGTTATCAATCCAGCCCTATTGGGGGAAAAAGAAGAAGAGTTACAATATTTATTGATTGACATTGCTAAGTTGATGGGGGTAGAGAAACTTCTGAAGGACAGTTACTGAGCAACATTAGTTGAAAGTGACACTAATAGGGGTAATTTAACAAGCAATAACAGTGACACACAATCTAACTCTTATCAGTGCTATGCAGAAGGCAGTGATTAACACTTCTGAATATTTTATAACTATAATAAGAAATTTTAAAGAAGCCTACGAAGAGATATTGCTGGAAGATGAGATTCCAAGGCTGGAAGGCCCTTCTCAACTATTGCAGAACAAGTATAAATAATGCTGTCACTAAAGAAACAATTCAAGCAAAAAGGATGTCTATGAAATTATTTGCACAGAGGCAAAAGGAAAGTCTGATGCTGCATCACAACACTACGATTGCAATACGGAACATAAAAAGCATGAATCAAGGTATGCTCAAAACAAGAATTTGAATGTTTAAACACTGCAATACTTGATATGATTGAACTGAGATAGACAAGTATAGGACATTTTAAATCAGACAATTCCAAAGTCTTGGAAGTGTGATGCTATTTCTTCCATTACATTCAAGAAATCAAAAATTTAAAGCAAATTTTGGGATGTTGAAAGATCAACAGGGAAACATATTATCTGATCATGACAGAATATAGAAATAGAAACAATACACTAAAGAACTATACAGAAGGGATACAAAGATAACAGATTTCTTTGAAGAAGAATTCTGTGATGAAGACGCTAAACACAAAGTACAAGATGCTCTTAAGGCACTTGGAAGAAATAAATCACCAGGAGTAGACACAATATCAATACAACTGTCCCAAGCCATAGAGAATGTACAGTGGTGCCCCGCATGACAACGATAATCTGTCCCATTGAAATCGCTGTTTAGCAAAATTGTCGTCATGCGAAATCTGTTTCCCCACTGGAATGCATTGAAACCCAGTTTAATGCGTTCCAATGGGGAAAAAAACCTGATCGTCCAGCGAAGACTGCCCATAGGAAAGCCATTTTGCGAGCGCCGATCAGCCATAAAAATGGCAGTCCTGCAAAGCATGGGTCCGGAAAACACAGGACAGCCATTTTGTGAAGCCAATCATCAGCTGTAAAAATCGTCATCTTGTGAACAAACAGTTCGCAAAGCACGGACCTAATCAACGTCCAGCGAAAATCCCCCATTGGAATGACTGTTTTGCGAATTGCTAAAGCTATCGCAAAAAGTCATAGTTATGCGGATTTGTCGTTCAGCGGGGTCGTCGTCTTGCAAGGTATCACTGTATCTGTAAAAATTCTAACATCAACCTGCAACCAAATATGGAAAACAAAACACTGCCCCACAGGCTGCAAACATTCAGCAAACATTCCAATTCCCAAGAAAGGAGATGCCAAAGAGTACAGTATGAGGCCATTACATTAATATCCCATGCCAAAAAAAAATGATGCTCAAGGTTTTACAACAAAGATTTTTACCACAGATAGAGGAAGAAATGCCAGATGTTCAAACTGTATTCAGAAAAGGAAGAGGCAGTACAGATCATATCACAAAAATATGTTGGCTACTGGAATGTACCAAAGAATTTTAGAAGAAAATCAGCCTAAAATATGTAGATTGCACCAAAGCTTTTGACTTTGTGAATTATGAAAAGCTGCTGCTTATGAACCTTCGTAAGCTGGATGTGGTCAAAGAGGAGATGGCAAGAATAAACACTGACATCTTGGGCGTCAGTGAACTAAAATGGATGGGAATGGGCAAATTCAATTCAGAAAATCGTATATACTATTGTAGGAAAGAATCCTGTAGAAGAAATGGAGTAGCCCTCATAGTCAACAAAAGAGTGGGTAAAGCTGTACTGGGATACAATCTCAAAAATGAGAGAATGATTTCAATATGAATCCAAGGCAGACCTTTCAACATCACAGTAATCCAAGTTAATGCACCAATCACCGATGCTGAAGAGGCTGAATTCGACCAATTCTATGAAGACTTACAACACCTTCTAGAACTGACACCAAAGAAAGATGTTCTTCTCATTATAGGCGATTGGAATGCTCAAGTAGGGAGTCAAGAGATAAAAGGAACAGGAAAGTTTGGCCTTGGAGTTCAAAATGAAGCAGGGCAAAGGCTAATAGAGTTTTGTCAAGAGAACAAGCTGGTCATCACAAACACTCTTTTATTTTTATTTTATTTATTTATTATTCAATTTCTACCCTGCCCCTCTAGACAGAGTCTACTCGGGATGACTTACAAAAAAGAATAAAACATTATAAAATACAATCAAATAAAATCATCAGGTATATATAAATCAATCACATAATTAAATCTGCAAACTAGAAGATCAAGATGGGAGAAAGCTAAAGAAAAAAGAAAATCAGGTGTTGACTGGAGGGAAGGCCTGCCTGAAGAGCCAGGTCTTTAAATGACTCTTAAAAACACCCAGTGAGGGTGCCAGGGTGATTTCTGGCGGCAAGGTGTTCCATAGTCGAGGGGCCACTGCCGAGAAGGCCCGGTTTCTTGTTCTTTCTTTCCAGGCCTCTCTCAGCATTAGGCCCCTCAGCCGTCTTTCCTGGCTAAAACAAGTGATTCGGGTAGATCTAGGTGGGAAAAGGCGCTTCGCCATGTATCACCATTTTCCAACAATACAAGAGGCAACTCTACACATGGAAATCATTAGATGGGCAATACCGAAACAGGATTGATTATATTCTCTTCAAGCAAAGATGGAGAAGTTCTATATAGTCAGCAAAAACAAGACTTGGAGCTGACTGTGGCTCTGATCATCAGCGTCTCATAGCAAAATTCAAGCTTAAACTGAACAGAGTAGGAAAAACCACTGGGCTAGTCAGGTATAATCTAAACCAAATCCCTTATGAATACACAGTGGAAGTGAAGAACAGATTTAAGGAACTAGATTTGGTAGCCACAGTGCCTGAAGAACTTTGGACGGAGGCTCTTAACATTGTACAGAAGGCAGCAAGAAAAACCACTCCAAAGAAAAGGAAATGCAAGAAAGCAAAGTGGCTGTCCAACGGGGCTTTACAAATAGCAGAGAAGATAAGGGAAACAAAATGCAAGGAAGATGGGGAAAGTTACAGAAAATGGAATGCAGACTTCCAAAGAATAGCAAGGAGAGACAAAAGGGCCTTCTTAAATGAACAGTGCAAAGAAATCGAGGAAAATAATAGAAAGGGAAAGACTAGAGATCTGTTCAGAAAAATTGGAGATATTAGAGGAACATTTCGCGCAAAGATGGACATGACAAAAATAGGAGGGTACTCACAGAAGCAGAAGATATCAAGAAGAGGTGGCAAGAATACACAGAGGAATTATACCAGAAAGATCTGGATGTCCCAGACGACCCAGATAGTGTTGACTTGAGCCAGACATCCTGGAGAGTGAAGTCAAGTGGGCCTTAGAAAGCATGGCTAATAACAAGGCCAGTGGAGGTGATTGGCATTCCAATGGAACTATTTAAAATCTTAAAAGATGACACTGTTAGAGTGCTACACTCAATATGCCAGCAAGTTTAGAAAACTCAGCAGTGGCCAGAGGATTGGAAAAGACCAGTCTACATCCCAATCCCAAAGAAGGCCAGTGCCAAAGAATGCTCCAACTACTGTACAATTGCACTCATTTCACATGCTAGCAAGGTTATGCTCAAAATCCTACAAGGCAGGCTTCAGCAGTATGTGGACTGAGAACTCCAGAAGGACAAGCTGGATTTCGAACGCGCAGAGAAACTAGAGACCAAACTGCTAACACGTGCTGTTTATGGAGAAAGCCAGAGAGTTCCAGAAAAACATCTACCTTCTGCTTCACTGACTACCCCAAAGCCTTTGACTGTGTGGACCACAGCAAACTATGGCAAGTCCTTAAAGAAATGGGAGTCCCTGCCCACTTTATCTCCTGAGAAACCTATACGTGGGCCAGGAAGCAGCAGTTAGAACTGGATATGGATCAACTGATTGGTTCAAAATTGGGAAAGGAGTACAACAAGGCTGTGTATTGTCCACCGGCTTATTTAACTTATATGCAGAATACATCATGCAAAAGGCTGGACTGGAGGAATCCTATGCCGGAATTAAGATTGCCGGAAGAAATATCAACAACCTCAGATATGATGATACCACTCTGATGGCAGAAGGTGAGGAGGAATTAAATTACCTCATAATGAGGGTGAAAGAGGAGAGTGCAAAAAAATGGTCTACCAACATGAATTTGACCAGACTCCAGGAGACAGTGGAAGACAGGAGGACCTGGCATGCCCTGGTCCATGGGGTCACGAAGAGTCGGAACACGAAGAGTGAGTCACAATATCTGACTGTCCTGATGCACAACCTATACCATGGGCAGGACACTTTATAACAGAATGCAGAGAAACAGCATGGTTTCCCACAGGTAAACATATTAGTTAATGGCTGAAATCCTGTTACTTAGCATAGTAAGTTGTAATTAGAGTAAGGCTATTGAAGCAATGGGAATTTGGTGAGCCAACTTCACTGATTCAGTGGGCTTAGTCTACTCATGACTTACTATGCCAAGCAACAGGATTTCAGCTACTGTATGCCCCTCAATCTGTCCACATAAAATCACAGTGAAATTTGATCCAAATGAAGGAGCAGTGAACACTGGTAGAAGAAATATTAATAATTTGGGATATGCAGATGACACTGTATTACTATCAGAAAGCAGCAATGATTTTAAAAGACTTCTGACAAAGGTGAAAGACGTGCAAAAGAAAGACTGCAGCAGAATATTAAGAAACAAAACCATGAACAGAGAAGAATTACATAACTTTATTACTGGTCATGAACAAATTAAAATTATTAAAGATTTTATAAACTTTGGTTCAACCATCAATCCCTGCTGGTTATTATATTTGTTGAATGTATGAATGTATTATTTTTTAAAAAAAATCCTGTTTTGATACTGTACTGTTTATCTTGTTGTTAGCTGCCCAGAGTGGCCTGGTTGCCAGATGGAGCAGGGTATAAATCAAACAAACAAACAAAGACTGCAGAAATTAGATGAAGACTGATACATGGCAGTGGAACTATGAAGGAACTGGAAAAGACTCTAGAGTGTAAGGATGGGTTACTGAAGACCATGACCAAAATCTTATGTACTGATTGCATTCCATGTAAAAGCCAGAAAGTGAAGAAAACTCATTGGGGAAAAAATAGATTCATCTGAAATTTTATTCTAGAAGGAAGCTTTGCAGATACCATGTACCACCAGAATGACAAATAAGTGACTGCTAGATAACATCAAGACTGAGCTATCTCTAGAAGCAAAAAATAATTGAACTAATGTGGTGGACACATCGCATGAAGACAATACTCATTAGAAAAGACAATAATGCTGGGGAGAGTTGAAGGCAGCAGGAAAAGAGGAAGACCAAATATGAGATGGATTGTCTCAAAAAACCCCTCACAGCCTTCAGTTTTCAAAAGCTGAGCAAGGCTATTAATGACAGGATCTTCTGGAGGTTACTCATTCACAGTCACCATAAGTCAGAATTGACTTGATGATATAGTGGTGCCCCGCAAGACGATGTTAATTCGTTCTGCGAAAATCGCTGTTTTGCAAAAACACTGTCTTGCGAAACACGGTTTCCCATTGGAATGGGGAAAAATTGTTGTCGTTTTGTGAACATTGCCCATAGGAAAACCGTTTTGCGAAGCACGGATCAGCTGTCAAAATCGCTGTCTTGCAAAAAAAACAGTCCCGAAAACACCCATTTTGTGAAGCGCAGACTCAGCTGTCAAAATCGTCGTCTTGTGAAAAACGCGCCCCCCCCAAAAAACCTCTTGTGAAGCACAGACCAAAACATCATCCAGCAAAAATTGCCCACAGGAAACACCGTTTTGCAAAACGCTATAGCGATCACAAAAAATCGTCTAGCGAATATACCGTTTTGCGAGGTAATCGTCTAGCGGGGCACCACTGTACCTAGACACTGACTTCCCAAACCAACAAGCAAGCAAGGAGTTGATTTGTTAAACTATCAAACAAGCAAGGATTCTGCCTTACTTATGACAAATAAACAAGGCCTAGGAATCCTGATTTAGAAGGGAAAAGCCCAGATTCCTGGTTTGGACAAGACAATTGGACAATGTTTTTTTTGTTTTACTCCTTGCACTAGTGGAAAAAAGCCACACATGTCTGTATTGTTGTTTACTATTCTGTGCAAGTATAGCTACTCTGTAAAACAATCAGCTATTCTGAACTTCTGACAACTGTTCGGAAATTTATCTGTTAAGCATAAATATATTTTGGAGGTTAAAATAATGAGAAGCATTTCTACAAGAATAAGAGTTACAACAAGGGGAATATCTCCCAGTCAAAAGACTACTTAGAAAATATTCTGTTAATGTGTAATACAGTGGTGCCTCGCAAGATGATGTTAATTCATTCCACGAAAAACGCTGTCTTGCGAAAACATTGTCTTGCGAAACGCGGTTCCCCACTGGAATGCACTGAAATCTATTTAATGTGTTCCAATGGAAAAATTGTCGTCTTGCAAAAATCATCCATAGAAAACATTGTCTTGCAGAATGCGGTTCCCCATTGGAATGCACTGAAATCTATTTACAGTGGACCCTCTACTTACGGAATTAATCCATATTGGAACGGTGGCTGCAGGTCGAAAAGTCTGTAGGTCGAGTCTCCATTGACCTACAATGCATTGAAAACCAATAAATCCGTAACCGGCTGTTTTTGTTCCGTTTTTGTTCCATTTTGTTTTTTTTCTGGTCTGTAGGTCGATTCTCCGGCTGCAAGTCGAACCTAAATTTTGCGGCCAGAGAAGTCTGTAACTCGAAAAGTCTGTAAGTTGAGCCGTCTGTAAGTCGAGGGTCCACTGTAATGCATTCCAATGGGGGGAAATCATCTTGCGAAAATCGTCCATAGAAAACATCGTCTTGCGAAGCGCAACAGCGATCGCAAAAACCAATAATCTTGCGGATTAATCGTCCTGCGAGGCAATCGTCTTGTGAGGCACCACTGTACTATTATCAATGAATAATAATTGCACATTCATTGCCACTGGAACATAAACCAAAAGCATGATTTTCTTATGGCACAGGACTATAATTCTTTAGAAGAATTCAACTGTATCATTAGTCAATATTGGTCTATATCCATCAATTCCACAACTTTCCTTTGCACCAAATTTTATAACATGGCATGGGCTTATTGAGATATGGTGCTCCACTTTTCACACAATTTGACATTTATCTACCAATACAGACAGCTGAAAATTCAATAGTAGTTAAGCACCAAGAATATCACCATGTGGTTCTAAAAGTTAATAAAAACCTACTTACTGGGAAAGGTTCCTTCCAGCTGGCACCCACAATTGATGGCCTTATGATGGCTACATTTAATTTTGAACCTTCCTGGTGTACAATGTATTCTGCTAAGGCTTTCGTATAGGTGTAAGTATTAGGTCTGTCTCCTAATAGTTTTGGTGTAATATCATTCACTAGGCTGTCATCCATCCACCTAAAGAAATAAAGTATTTATTAATTAATATCCTGCATAGCTACTCTAACTCACAATATCTAAAATGATGGGAGTTTTTTTTACTCACATATTTAAAAACAAAAACAAAAACACATTTCCACCACATAAGACAAATCATCATGCCTTACCATATGTTGCTTTCTGAACACACATATATGTAGAAGTGACCATTTCCAGGCAAAAAATCATGCTAACCATTGTATTTTAAAGAACTGATTTCATAAAAACACTAGGATTTGTTAGTACTAAGAATCTAAAGCCGGTTCCTACATGAACTAAATAAATTTAGAAATACTGCCCTACCAAAAACAAAATAAAAAGTGTATTTTCATAATCAAAAGGATTAAATGATCAAGCTTAAGAGTACTTCACCAAAATCCTTTTCATTATGCCTCCCATCCCACATCAGTCATGTTACCCAGTGCACAATTGGACATGCCTATACTAACTTTTCAACATATAACAAATCATCACTAAAAGCTACAACAGTGTTATGCAGGTAAGCATAATGAACAGGATTGGTCCTTCATTTTTTGGAACCCTGCTTGCTGTTGTATAATGTAAACAAAGATGTAAGTTTTGGTCCATTTCTCACTAGTAAAAGTCTCTGCCCCAATTCTTAGGGGTATGTGCACTCTGGCTTAGTGTGTGCATATGCCCCCTGCAAGAATCATGCTAGGGGGTCTTTACTGACAAATGAGAAATAAATTCAAATGACAAGTGAGGAATACACTCAAAGTATTCGCGAAGGCTTTCATGGCTGGGATCTAATGGTTGTTGTGGGGTTTTCGGGCTCTTTGGCTGGGTTCTGAAGGTTGTTCTTCCTAACGTTTCGCCAGTCTCTGTGGCTGGCATCTTCTGTGCTCTGGTGTAGTTTGCTTGGGAGTGGATTATATATGGCTGTGAGATAGGCTTTTGTCCTTTTCAGGAGATAGGTGATTAGTGTGTCTTGTTGTGAGTGTATTGTTGTGATAAGGAGGAGAAAGTATCCGTCACTGTGATTGATGGGTGTCATTAGCTGGTCTTTTATGTGTAGTGATCCCTGGTCCTTGTGGCTGGATAGAGTTCGTGGACCTGTTGTACGCTGTATTTTTCAGAGCTGGGATCCAAGTTTTGTTGAGTTTCAAACTTTCCTCTTTTTTGTTGAAGTTCTGCTGGTGCTTGTGGATTTCAATGGCTTTCCTGTGCAGTCTAACATAATGATTGCGGGTGTTGTCCAGTATTTCAAAATAGAATTTCATGTCCAGCTTGTTTTAGGGCATGTTCAGCTAATGCAGATTTTTCTGGTTGTTTTAGTCTACAATGTCTCTCATGTTCTTTGATTCTGGTGTGGATGCTTCCTTTTGTGGTTCCAATATATACCTGGGCACAACTGCAAGGTATCTGGTATACTCCTGCAGTGGTCAGGGGGTCCCTTCTGTCCTTTGCTGACCGTAACATTTGTTGTATTTTTGTGGTGGGCTTGAATACTGTTTGTTGGTTGTGTTTTTTCAAAAGTTTCCCCATGCGGTCCATGACCCCTTTGATGTATAGCAGAAATACTTTATTTGTGGGTGGCTGTTTTTCTTAAGTTCGGTGTTGTTTTCTTGGTTTGATGGCTCTTGTGATTTCATTTTTAGAGTAGGAATTTGCCTGTAGGCCCCAATTCAGATGGTTGAGTTCAGTGCTGAGAAACTGAGCTTCACAGTTCCAATTTGCACGGTCTACCAGTGTCTTATGCCTCTTTTTTGCTGTGGGTGGTGGTTGGAATTTTTGTGTAGGTACCGGTCTGTGTGGGTGGGTTTTCTGTAGACCTTGTCTCCCAGTCGGAGGTCAGTTTTGCGTAGGACTATGACATCTAAGAACGGGAGTTGGCCCTCTATTTCTTTTCCCATGGTGAATTGTATATTTGGGTGGATGCTGTTGAGATGGTTCAGAAATTCTTCCAATTTTTCTTCACTGTGGCTCCAAATTGCAAAGGTGTCATCCACATATCAGAACCAGACTGTGGGTGCAAAGCCTGGGCAGGTCTTTCGAAATGCTCCATGTAGAAGTTTGCTATAACCAGGTGAAGATGCTGGCCACAGAGACTGGTGAAACGTTAGGAAGAACAACTTTCAGAACATGGCCGAGGAGCACGAAAAACCCACAACAACCAATACACTCAAACTTTGCTTGAATTATGCAACAGTGAGCAAAATCCTCATCCACAAACTTACAGTGTACAAAGGATGATGTCATCATCACACAATGGGAATATTTAATTTAAGTTAATTGAAAGCTTCCTGTCCTCCATCTTCAGGTTCCAAGACTCCCCAAGGTTCCCTTTTTCCTTGGGGAAATATTTTAGGACCCCAAGGTGGTAGGAGAGCCAAAAATCATCACTGGATTGCTACCATGGGAACTGATCTGATGGCAATTTTTGGCTATTAAAAACTCTTTTATTCCTGATTACAGCCTCCAGTGACATCTCCCATGATGCTCCAAAAGGTCCCACACATTTGGAATAGTTTTGGTGAAGGTACAGAGGGGGCACAAGGAAAGGAGGCATCAGCAATAATTCACCTCCTTTTCTTCTTCCATCATCTGAAATGCTTACAGATCAGAAACCAGCTCTGATCAGAAGCCCTTCCATGAGAGGAAGACAAGATCTGGATCAAAGCCAGTACATTTAAGCAAGCAAGCTAAATGTCAACCTGTGCGCTGTTTCCGAAGTAAGCCATAGTACTAAGCAGAGATGCTTCCAATACGTCATAAGCCAATGCAGAAGATTAGCCTATACTTAATTTTTTAAAAGAGAATAGGTCAATTAATGTTTTAAAACTAGTAAAATATATGCCATATTTGATACTCATCTGGTTTACTAAGTTTCAAAATAATATTAGCTACTTATATACCATATACAAATTAATCATCTCAAATTATTAGTAAGTCTCATCAAGTTCAGAACAAAGATCCAAGAATGAGCATTTTTATCAGTTCAAAAGAAAATTTCCAACATTTTGAAAACACAACATACTCCAGAGAATCTATCAATTTCTTAGGATCAACTGGAGGTGGATAGATAACTTCATCAATGTGCTTTTGGTTGCAGTATGCATATGCTGTTGAAACATGGATAAACACTTCAAGATTCTTCATCCTCTGAGCCAAGAAGAGAAGTTGTTGTGTTGCAATTACATTGAGCTGAACAGCATCCCTGTTTAAACAAAAGGAATTACATGAGCATCCTCTAAACAACTTACAGACATTTTCTTAGTCTGACCCATAATTTCTTAGTACTTGTTAAACTTCTGACAAGGTGGTGGCAGAAAATGTCTTTGATCTCAATGAATAAGAATGGCCAGGGGCCCTTACAGGATTTGCCAGGATGGTTGCACAGAAGTAGTAAAATTAGGCTGCCAGAAAAACCTGGAATTGATTTTTTCCAAACACGCCTAAATATCATTTATTCTTTATATGGAAACTTAGAAACTGGAAAGAATTCTATTTTGGGTTCAGAAAATCTAGTACTCCCTGATTTTGAATGGCATTGTTCTTCTGACAAACTTATTTCACATCTAAATTCCTAGAAAATTACAAGAGTGGGTAGATGTCTCTTCTGCTTCAAAACATGTTCTTTGCATTTTATAGCAAATGGAAATACGTAACAATAGTAGGGTCCCAAGACAAAAGAGAGCAGTTGTTTTGACTGATAAGAATTCCCTTCCCCAGGCACTTTTGTGTGTGTTCTGTGCCCTCAAGTTGGAACCAAGTTACAGCAACCCTAAAAGGGCTTTCAAGGTAAGTGAGATATTTAAGGAGTGGTTTTACCAGTTCCACTCCCCCGGTGAGTTTCCATGGCCAAATGAGGATTCAAACCCTGTTTTCCAGTTGTTTATATGCAGACTAACATAGAATATGGAAAGAAAGGTCAAAGTGTCAGACCCAGTCTTTCAATTCCCTCTTCTTGGTTTGGTATTAAAACAGAGAGAAGCAGCAAATTGTGCTGCATTTCTGAGAACAGCTCCCTTGCTCCAGTTTTTGGGACTCGTTTTATTTTAAAAATTGATCAGGATAGAAGCTTAGAGAAAGTGGGAACAGGGTGCACAAATTACCTAAAGCTGCTATACTACCGTATTTTCCTGAAAATAAGACAGGGTCTTATATTAATTTTTGCTCCAGAAAACGCATTAGGGCTTATTTTCAGGAGAATTTTAAATTTTTATGTACAATCTACATATATTCAAATACAGTCATGTCATCTTTTTCTGGTTGCTGCACAATAGTGGAGGGCGGGGGTTCACTTTATTGGGGCTTATTTTTGGGGTAGGGTTTATATTACGAGCATCCTGAAAAATCATACTAGGGCTTATTTTTAGGTTAGGGCTTATTATCGGGGGAAACAGTATACTTAGGTTTTGATAGCTTACATATTGTGAAGTAAGACTCATTGCAAGTGCTACTTGAACAATGAGATATGCATCTTTAAGGCAACAATGGCTGAAATCCTGTCACACCATTATGTATGCATGTATGTATTCAATTCAATTCCTTTATTATGATCAGGCAATAATATATTTATTTGGTTGGTTGGTGTATTGCCCTATTAGTGCATATCTGCTATTCTGGGAGGTTTTCCAAATAAAATACACAACCCCTGCTCCACTCCTGTATATTAACACAATCAATATGGTGTTCTACCAATTTGAAAACAGTTGGCGGAAAAAAGATGGAAATTTTAAAACCAATGTTAACAACATCTGGGGTTCTTAAGGGCTGCTTTATAGACGTTTGTATTTACTAGTTTCCTAAATATCAGGAGGGCTTAAGCCTGGTGCACCTTGGAAACTTGTTCCAAAGAATAGGGGCCATCACTGAAAAAGCCCGATTCCTTCTTTTTGCCTTTCTGGCTTCCTTCAGCATGATCACATTTAATATCATGGATTGGGAAGAGTAAGTGAAATTGGTAGCTGTTTTCTGGGAGAGATGTTCAGACAAGTATCAAAGCCCTAAAACATTAAGATTATAACCAACACCTTGAATTGAGCACAGAAACTTAAAGGGAGTCAATTTAGCAGAAACAAAACAAAACAAAAAGAACAAAAAAAAACCCCACTGGTTTGATTCAAGAAAAGATACTGCCTAAACATTAAAACAGAAGTCTTTCCTCTAAGAAGCCAGAGACATGCCAGATTCAAACCACTCAACTTCTACAATTACAAGCCTCAGAAAACAAGATTTTAATGACATACAAGATTCAAAATATATTTATCAAACATGCAGTCATGATGACTAAACTACATTTGTAGTTTACTACTTATAACTCAAAGAATGAACTATCTAAATAATTTAAGAGATCATACAATACATATTTATAACATGACTATGTGCAAATAAATTTGCTCTTCGTTTCATGCATATAATCTCTAGAGAAGTCTCTGTATACTAGGCTACAAGTAATTGCACCTTTCCAAATGCCTTCTGTAAAAGGAATAATAATCAAGCAACTATGTATTCAAGTGTCCTCCTTGAGATGTACTACAGTACTTTTAAACTTGGCTACTTCTGCCTTGTTTAAAGTACACATAATAAATGTGTACGCTTTTAAAGTGTGGCAACAGTACTGCAGCAATTTGCGATACAGCACATTATCCTCTTATAACGTTTATGAAGTGATTTTTGGAGAGGTATCAGAACACAGTCATATTTGTTCTACATTAATGAAACATATACTCACCTTAAAATTTCATTGAATCTTATAGTAGCAGCACAATGAAATATAATGTTGGTACACTCTATGAGATTCTCCTTGTCCTCCTCACTAAGGGCCATTTCTGTTTCTGTCAGATCGCTAGCAACTGCTATAATTTTTTGTCTAAATTCTGGCTGTTCATCTCTCAATCTGTCAAACAGCTGTAAAAACAAACAGACCCACACATTCAGGAGACACAACGCAAGGCCCAAATGAAGAAGTGTTTGAATGTATCCTATGACTAATACATTCCTTTCACAAAATGTTTCAGCATATTTGTTGCTTCATATTGAAAAAATATAAACCAATATAAAACCTCTCTTTACAAGTCTGCAATGGGGAAATTACTTAAACATAAGAAAACTAACCCATGTTTAAAGCAAAAAAACTTTTAATGTGCTTTGGAAAGCTTTTATATTTGCACAGAAGCAAAAACATTTGAAATTTCCAGCCACTGTCACCCATGTCAAAAACTAAAATTACTAAAGTCTTTCTGCTTCCACTGGTAGCCAATTCTAGACCTTTGATTCATGATAAACCATGCAACTCATTTAGGTGAAATTCCAAGAGACTACATGTTTTGATGTCTGGGTACAGTGGTGCCTCGAATAGCGAGCGCCTCTATTAACGAAAAAACTCGGGACATTTTTAAGCCTTGATTAGCGATTTTTCCTATGGGCGATTATCGGATAGCGATCTTCAATGGTTTCAATGCATTTCAATGGAGGAACTGCGGTTCGTGTTCACTACTTTTAAAGGGTTTAAAGGTAAGGTTTAGGGATTGAAATGAGATTGTAAAGTGCAGTTAATAAACCCTATGTTAACCCATTTTGACCTTGTTCTGACTCTTTGTTAATTTGTGATTGATTCCCCCCCCCCTTGAGATGCACTGAATAGGGTTCAATGCATTTCAATGGGGGAACGTGTTTTGAATAGCGCGGTTTCCTATGGAGATTTTCCATTAACGAGGGCAATTCATTCCAAATGGAACGGATTAGCCGGCTTTCAATGCATTTTAATGGGAAACCACATTTCAAATAGCGAGTGTTTTGAATAGCGATTTTTTTTACCGAACGCATTAACCTCGCTATTCAAGGCACCACTGTATTTATGTTCTTTTTAGACTAGGCTCCATCAATTTGCTTATGCCCAATAGGACAAAACAAATTTGAATCTGTGTATCTTCAGTCACTGAAAGCATTACAAAAGTATTTTAGAAGATAATACTGCCATTGTACTCCGACTTCATAATTCCCCTGAGGGAGATTTAAGTTGGGACTCTGCTGTGGCTAAACACAGTTCAGGTTTCCCAATCTTTCAGCCCCATATAAAATACTGAAAAAATATTGTTGCCTACACCACTGGTTCTCAAATCTTGATCCCCAGATCTTCTTGGAATACAACTCCCAAAAATCCTGGTCAGCGTAGCTAGTGGTGAACGCTTCTGGAAGTTTTAATCCAAGTACATCTGGGGACTCAAGGTTGGGAACCACTGTTTTCTGCACAGGCACACAAATATTTTTCTCTGCTTTCTCTTACAATTCCTCTCATTCTGACAGCCACTGCCAAGGGAAATATTTCTTCCTTGTTTAACTTTATGAAAAATAGAACAGAGGGGTGCTTCACAATCACCATGGCATACTTCCAATGGTACCAGGATACTTCTAGTCGCCACACTGGAAATCAGGCTCCACAGAATAATTATGGAGTGGCATTTAGCTTTCATTTGGAAACCTAGGTTCTAAGCAAGCATGTTGCACTCATCTCCAGAGGTAACAAACTGAAGGCTATTTAGCCATTCAAGTTTTCCTAGGAAAACATTTACTCAGTTTGGCATTTGCTTTCAAATGAAAATGGATAGATTGTTTGAAACACTAATGGAAATAAACACATTTCAAATAATATCTGCATATACACTTGAATTGTTGACACACAATACTGAGATTTTCCTGCAAAGTATCATTCATAATATTCTACATCAACTGTAAATAATGAAGGAAAGCGAACCAGTTATTATCCATACTCAGACAACATGCCACTTGGGAATAAATTCTCAACAACTCATATAAATGACTCTTAGTTCACGTTCATCTTACAATATCTGAGCAATCCAATACCTGTATCTTGTAGAACATCTGAAATATACAAGTGGGACTTAAATGTCACAGTAAATTCCTTCTGTACAAGACTGCAGCCACTCCCCACCACTCCACTCCCCCCTTCGCTGTTCTCCACTCCCTAAACTGCTAGTCAGAATTCCAAGGCCACTCAGCTCAGTCAGTCCTCATGAGATTTTTTTAGGGGTCCCTTCACACTTACTGATTTTCCTTCTAAATACTGTGTGTACTTGTTCAAAATAGAGGGCCATCTGTAAGTCCCCAATCTTGAACTTATGTAGAACTTGCAGAGTGAAAATGGAAGGAAAAGTGTGAGCCTCATAAAATGCTGTCAGGTATCTCCTGCATGTATGCATTGTTGGAACCTGAGGCTGAAAATGTGAAGACTGAAATCAAAGAAACACGTCCCTGGTCTAACTTACTTCACGTGGAAGTAGATTTTGAACACTGAAAAACATCATCTATTGTAGTGGTCACGAAATGAGAAGGCTGATGGTTTAGGTGATCACAAGTAATTAAGAAAGCAATTGGTCTTAGAGAAGTTAAAGAAGTCAGTCACACACAGATATATCTGCCACCCGAGTCCTCCTGCCCGTCCACCTTTCTGGGGCAATGCTCCCAGGTGGACTCCCTTTTATTAAGTTTACAGGTACAGTAGTTGACAGTATACTGATAGGGCACGGTTACATAATGCCAGTTAGGATTGGCCAAAGAAAGGCTTCGAAGTTAGCTCTCTATCTCTATGAGACAGAGGAAGAATGGTACATCCCTAATTTTTATAGCTCTCTTCAGGCATTCCATCAGGAGGTTAACGTGAACATCCAAGGGAAGAGAGCACCCTATCTGCTCCTTCTTAGTTCTCCATGTGCGCAGAACTACTTCTGAAGAGCTGAGTTGTCAGCATCTGTGAAGCATTTCCCTGCCATGCAGAGCTCTGATTTTTCAGGATTTCTGACTGCATGGAGATGCTCCACAAATAGAAACACATTTCCCCTTCAGATTAAGCTCTACATATGTGGGAAACTAGGATGGTCTGGAACAGGTGGGGATGGAACTAATATTCCCCTTTCCCTTGCATGTTTATATTACAGTGGTGCCTCGCACAACGGGCGCCTCGTAGAGCGATGAATTCGCTCTATGAGGCCGTTTTTGCGATCGCAAATGCAATCGCAAAACGGTGCCCGTATAGGCGGTAATTCACAGAGCGAAGGTCGGTAAGCTGCTTGCTTACCGACCTTCGCTTTGCGACCCGCCGATCAGCTGTCCAGCGGGTCCAAAATGGCCACCGGAACAGCGGAAAGGGGCCGGGGCGCAGCGTTTTCGCGCCCTTGGTAAGCAAGGGGAGCGCGCGAAAACGCTGCCGGAAGCCCCGAAATGGTTGCGTGCAGCCATTTCGGGGCTTCCGCAGCGTTTTCGCGCGCTTCCCTTGCTTACCAAGGGCGCGAAAACGCTGC